ACCTTGAATGTGGCGGAAGGACGTGATGACCTGAAATAAATTGAATGAAAAGAACACTAAATACACACACACAACTAGCACATTGGACCTTTCTTCTTGTATATGCCACGGCATTTTGCCATCTTTCATGGTCTTTTTAACTTGAAGTGCTGTTAGAGCAACTCCACCCAATGAGAAACTACAATTTATGATACAATTTTAATTAACTTGTGCATTTTAGTTACAGGTAAATGTGCATGTACATGTTCAAAGCTTCATGTATAATAATCATCAATGTTTTAAATGGACATCACAGTGAAATATTCTTTTATCCACTTCTGTTGTTTAATATTGTTCTATCTTAATATGGCATACGGTATTCATTAAAATCTTTCCACATCTATAAAAAATGTAGAGTACATACGCGCTGCCCACAGATCTTGGAAAAGGAGAACTCCTGGCAATGGACTCCTTGTCTCCTGCCTCACTGTCATCATCCTGGTCCAGGTCAGCATCACCTTCCTCAAACTTCACCTTGCTAACCATGGCGCCTACAGAGGGCTGGGTGGAGCGGGAACTGGCGGCACTGCTCAGACGCTCTTTCTGGTGACCTGTTGGGAAACAAATCAAGGAAACATCTGTCTTGTGAGTTGAGAGTTTTTTCCTTTCTTTCTTTATTCCTCTTTTTTTTGTTTGGGGGGGGGGGGGGGGGGGGCATTTTGGGCCTCTTCCATATACATGGTGTTTTTTTTTTTTTCTGGAACCAAAAGTAAGGTATTATAGGCGTTGAGGTTTTTGTTCACTTACCTGCCATAGCTGACTGTGCCCTGTTGTCAATGTCTGCAGAAGGCAGAGGAGTGGTGCACTTTCCAACATTAGAAATCTTGTCAACAGCAGACCTGATGTCACGTTTCCTGGAGGCTGGAGTGTTATCCATCTTCTTCACATCTGGTGACAGTATTCCCAGTGACACCCGATAGTGCTCTAACCAGTCATCTGCTAGGTTTCTGAGGAACAGAAAGCAATTAAACAGTTTAAACACAACTTAAAGGGATAACAACTTGCCATATGAGATTCACAATTCAACAATAAATACATTGTTAACAACACAAAGAAATAAAATAAACTCCATTTTACCACCAAAATGGCAGTTAGCACAATTACTTTGTAATCTGTGCTTGCCATCAAACCACGTAGACCTTCACAGATGGCTACCCTCCATGAGATGAAATTATTACAAAAAGCATACTTAAAAAAAAAAAAATCAACTAACTTTAAATGTCGGAATGGATTCATTAACCGTTAGTTAGTATGGGATCATGGAAACATTGTCATTTACCCCAGGAAAACCTAATTTATGGTACCCTTCCCACCAAAATTAAGAGTTGTTATTCCTATAAAACCTCTAATAGCTTCCTTTTAGTATACATAATCATAAACTTAAGCCACTTTGGAAAAAATGAATGTCCACTTCAGTAATAATACACAGTTCTATACTGTATACGGACAACAAGAGTTTAGGATATTAACTGGCTGAATACCAATAGCATGTACATGTACTTAAATGTATACTATCAATCACTTACTTGACTTTTCTATGCAATCTTGCAAGCTGCTGACCAGATACTTCATCATACTCGGCTTTCTCTGGGAATTCCAGGTATTTTCTCAAGTTACTGATTGGAGCAGTGTACTTGCCCTGAAATCCAGAGAAAAAAGTTAGGAAGAGACAGGTAAATCACAAATCCATTCATAAATGGGTGGGTTTTCAAGTTTTGATATTTTTTATTAAACTAGTTGCCACCAACTGGTTCTGGTCAACAATTTATATAAGATGTTATGTCATTATAAATATATACAAAGCTGTCAGCTGTGTGTTCCACTTATAATAAGATGCTTAATATTCGTAAAAATTGTCATTTTTATCAGTTTGAACATGCCTTACAGGAGACACTCCTCTGAAGCTGACCATAATTCCATCTTAACATGTCTGCACCCCATATAATAGTCTAACATGTATCCTTTTGAGAAGTTATTTATTTACACACGTATTTATTAATCAAACAAACTGAAGAGTCACATGTAATCTTTCTCCCAGTTACAAAATTGAGTGGGGTTTTGCAATTAGTCTAAGCATACAAAGACTATCTGAATTAATATATTTAAAAATTGAATAACATCAGTAAGTTAAAATGTCAAATGGACCATATACAGGACTTTGGCACACGGGCAATAATTTCAACTAAAAATTAATTTCCACACATCCAAAAGAATTTTTCAGCTTTTACAAATGATCCACCTATCAAGTTCAAACTCAAAAATATAACTTGCTATCAGGTTTGTTTAGTAAATTACTGAAGCAAATAGTATATTTTCCTTCCTTGCATTCCAAATTTGTGTAAAATGCTACTTTTTAGTCCTATATTACAAAGAATGTACACGCCCTTAGTTTTGAGAGAAACGCATTGATTTAAAAAATAAATAAATAATTTCTACTATGTTGAAAATCTTGCCAATAGTCTTTTTATTATGAAATCTAATGTTAGCCAACATAAACAATGAAATCACACCATCAAATTGAGAGAGAGCACCATATTTCAATAATTCAACAATTGCATATATTCACATTAAAAAAAAAACATACATTTAGTGAATCCAACAACAGTTTCAGTTAGGTTTGTTAGTCAATATAATTATATGTGACTTCAAACAAAAGACAGTAAATGCACTGTATATGTGGCATGACACACCTGAAAACACTGGTCAATGTTAGCAAGCGTGTAAGACAAATTATCCTGTGACTATCATAAAGCATAATGTTACTGTTGTTGGTGTTATTGTTAAATTGTTAGGTTATGTCAACAGCTACCACCAGAAAGAACAGATAAGTACATGTACAACATGCATATATATATTTGTAAAGAGCTGAAATAAACATGCCCATAGAGGGTAATGGTGTGCGTGTGTGTGTGTGTGTGTGTGTGTGTGTGTGTGTTTTGTTTGTTGGTTGGTGGGGGAAGAAGCCAATTCTTTTTGACACTGTAATAACTATTTTCTAGTAGGAAGTTTGACTGAGTTATTATACTTTACCATCTCTGCAATGGGCAACATGTTCAAATGACGCCATACAAATAACATTGCACCATGAGGAAAACAGTACCCCTGGTACATTGTTCATTCATGTGATTGAAGAAAAGCACAGTACATGTAGCTGGTGAAGAATGCTGTTTTTATCTATGTGTAACACTACTTCTGAAATCTGGTAGCATACATTTTGTATAGCAGTGAGAAGAGATTTTTACGAGAGGATTCATGAAATAAAGTTGATGGTTGAAGTGATAAATGTATCCTAAAGTGAGCTACTTACTGATGCTATTAACTCAAATGCTGCCTAAAATAAATATTTGGATGGTAAAAAATGGATATGTAACTATGACCTTAAAGTATATGATATTTGTATATGTAATTAAATCAAAAATTTCAAACCAACTATTGATTAAAACCACACAATCCCTGTAAGACCTTAACACAGCAATTCAAAATTAATAAAATTATAAAAAATTTACCAATTTTTATCACTTAAGTATACCATATCCAAACATTTTCCCAAAAAGATGAACTATAATTTCAACATTTCAGTTCTAAATGTCTCATTTTTACCATCATTAGTGAAATTTGAGAGTCCAATAAATAAATAAATTAATTAATTAATAAGTTGGAATCCAAAAACTGATTTACTATTTGGAATTCTATGAACAATTTTAGTATACCTTGGTGATAAGAAAAATGATGACATTAAAAATTTCCAATTTTTTGCTATGTGGAGGTCTTATGCTTTCATAATCTTGCTAAAATATAAATGTAACAATTATCAAACTGTCTTCTCAGCTCATGAATAAGTCAAGCAGTTTATTTTTAATATTAAGCATATAAAAAAACCCCGCAACCTATGGCTATTCATGCATTTTAAATGTCTACTCTCTCTGTTATGTTTTTCCTGTAACCATATATATAAGTACAATGCTGTTAGATGAACATCACTGAACATACAAATCTTAGTTAAACTGTGCTCTGTCATATACATAAAAACCAACTTCAGCACTTCAACCAATTCTATGCTGATTAAACAATCCATAGTCAATTTAACACTGAATTGCATACCAGCAAGCAGTCACGCATACCTTGGGCTTCATCTGCTTCTTTGCTTTCTGTGGCATCTTTTTCTTTGCAGCTGGATTCTCATTGGCTGCCAAAGAGCTGAGGTTCAGCCCAGACATCATTTGACCCTGAAATAATGATTTACATGGCCTTTTACATATCTGAAGGTTGTGAAAGGAATGCTTTATAATATGAACTATTGAATTCTGGGTAAGAATAATGAACTTCCCAACCAATTGGTGCTTTGGTTGTTGAGTGTCTTTTAAGCCAGGGCCTCATGCTGACATTACTCTGGTTTCCCAACCACAATGACTTCACTTTATAATATAAATGCAACTGTAAGTGGTTTACAATAAGTGTACCCTATCTGCAATGCAAGCACGCCTTCAGTCTCTTACCAGATCCTCCACCTCTGCAGCCCCAGATTGCAGGCCCACTTTGAACTTGACAGTTTCCTTGTTGGCACTAAAAAACAGCTCCAATTTAGAGTGACTGGAGCAGCGGAAGGTCAGGTTGTTATTGAGCTAAGGGGTGTCATGAAAAAAAAGTGAAAATACAAGTTAATTAAAAATATTTAGAAACTTGGTTAAGGAAAATCCCTACTATATTCTATTATGCTGTACAAGGCAATCGTGACAATACACAAAAACAAGTTAAGCTAAACAGGATTCAAGAACAGACAAGGATATTTCACTATTCCCTAGAATATATCTCACTTTTTACAGGATAATATAAAATTGCTACAAAATTAATTATCATACTTTATGAGATCTTTATTGTAAATATAAATATAAATTTTAAAGATATCAAAATATTGGTCTCTCCATTTGGTACAGCAGAAGACTTCATCCTTTAGCATGTACCTGAATAATTACTGGAATGGGCAGCTTTCCATGGGCTGGTGGCCACTGCCACCGCTTGATGACAGAACCATAGGTGTCACTCATGCTACCACCTTCAGCATTGGCAAGAAATCTAAAGCATAAAGACAAATAGGAATGGGAGCTTTCAGATTTTAAATTCATTCATTAATTAAATAAAATGTTTTCATTCATCGATATTGTTTGATTTATATAATATTATTAACCTTGTAAAAAAATTACTTTATTTTGCTTAATTTTCTTGTTTTGGCAGCTTTCTTCCCTTTTTTGTCATTCTCTCTCTTTTTTTAATCTTCATTTCCAAGTCTATCTCTTACCTAACTACTCCATTGGGATGATAGCAGGTAGCATTCCCCTGAGGAGTAAAGCACCCAAGCATGGTCAGCTCAGCATTGTCTTCATATGCCACGGTGTAATATGTTTTCTTCCCTTCACTCTGCCCTGCCAGCGTGGTCACCACTGCCATCCTGCCAGATGGGTAACTAGCACAGGGGTCAAGGAATCAATAATAATAATAATAATAATAATAATAATAATAATGAAAATATCAATTGGCAAATTTTTACATATTTATATGTGCCTAAGTGGTTTTATTTCTTCTTTTTTTCCTCTGAGTCACTTTTTTATGCATTATGTTCATAGAGCACTGACACGTGTGTAGAATATTTTGTATAAATTTTTCATAAAACTGTATGTGTCAGTATTGCAGAGTCTGAGCTTCAGATAAGAAGCAAGTCAACTTCTTCACTTTCAACTTTCCACATTTGCCCCTCTATCTAACAAGCCTTCACATGTATGGAGATTTTAAAAATGAAGACCCTGGCATGCATCATATCTGAGCCTGAAGATAACATTGCAGAAAGGATACAACAATGTTGTTGAGCCATCAGCCATCGAGCACATGTACATCTTCCTGGTTTCCTTCCATTCTAACACAGGGACTGTAGGCAGGAATGGCTGGGTGCTAGATGCCCCAGAAGACACTCCTTTGCTGCTTCCCTTACGCATTTTATTTATTGCCTCTTTCTTGGTGTCTCCATAGTAACGGATAATACTGGGCTTATCCAAACCCATTTCTTTCTCTTTGATAAGTTGCTCTTTGCTAAAATCATAAATTGTTTTATATAAGTATTATTTTTGGCATTTTTTAGCTTTATAATGTGTTATTTATATCTAACATTTACATGCAATACTAATAATATAATGCTGTTGAAGAAATACAGAAATATACATAGATCTACTAGTATCTGCCTTGCTATATGGATGATTCAGGATGAAGGGGCAACTTGTATGTGTTCCAAACCCCCAGCAAAATACCCAACATGGAACACACTTTTCTCTCTTCGTAAGAAGGCACTGCAGGTAAATCTGTCATTTTCTTTAGAAAATAAAAATAGTAAAGGATTCCATGGTTTTCCAAGCTCACCCCTGTATCCTGGCCTGCTGCAGTCTGTGTGTGGCCCACATTAGCACCGTCTCTTTCTCTGTGTCAGTTTTGATGTCTGGGTGCACAATCCAACCTGAACAGAAAGAAAAAATTGAGTTGTATCAATAATGAGATATCAAATGTGCGTGGAAAACCTGTTTTGATAACAAAAACTGAAATAAACACATGTGGAGTTTTTTTTTTTTTTGAAAAGTTATATTTTCTAGGCTTCTTGGTTCATTTCAGTACAGAAATGCTATTCAGCAACAACAACATGCCGACAGTTTACTAAACTTACCCTTTTCGTCACACTGCTTATTGGAAAGCATAAACTGTATTGTTGAGACAGTATATGGCTGGTTTGTGACAGCTAAAATGTTGAAAGAGGCTCTAAATTATTACATAAAATTTTACATTGATTAACTGTACGGTTTACTCTAAAATCATGTAACAAGCACTATTTCAAAAATAAAATTCATATTACATTTCTATGGTTCATTAGAATCCAAAATTCATAATTTTTTGAACTGATTTTTAACAGATAAAAATAACCAAATAATCAATTCATAGCTTTAACACTTGATGCAAAAGCAAAGCATGCAAATAAGCAGTCAGATAAAATAGCAATAGCAGTAGCTGGTGACAGCAGTCCTCCCATGATCGACTTACACTTAGTTTCTGAGGGCGCCTCTACCACTGAGGTGGCACTCTCTTTTGGCTGCTGCTTTAGTGGAGGTGCACTAGATGGAACATTTGTGACTGCAGGGAAATTGTGAGAGGAAATAAAAAATGAAGAAAATAATAATAATGTGCAATACAGATTTTTAAAGGATCGTTCAATGTTTCAGAAGTGAATAATACACCCTAAATAATAAATAAAGAAGTTCAGACTCTGAAATTCCTAAATGAAAAGCCATAAATCAAACAGTGATATACTAGTTCAGGTCAAACTTAAGAATACATACAAAATAATCAAATGAAATACATGAAATGAAATAAAGTCATTTTAACTTTTTTCTTAATTTTTAAAATCATATCAATTACTGTAATCCTATCCAATATAACTGATTTTCAGGCTTTAATGGTTAATTCCCTCTTGATCTTTTCCTAACATTTGCACTTTCTTTGTTATTTTCCAAACTCATCTAATGAATAGGCCATTTCAGAACATTGCTTTGTGCAGGACCTGCAGTGTAAATTATCAACAAATGCTTCTCAGGAGAAAAAGGAAAATGAAAAAAAAAATCTCGTTTCCTCTTTTCAAAGAAAATGCCCTGGTCAACACTATTTGTTAACAGGAGTAAATGTCTCATGCTGGCAACCCTGAAGCATACTACTGTAAGTACTATGGAACATCAATACATCAAAACCTCGATCGTACTCAAATATCCCCAATCCAAGTACACACATTTAAGAAAGCATATGCTTGTGTGTCTGTGGAATAAATATTTGACAATTCTACATTCATTGATCTCTGGAAATATAGATAAGGCACTTTCTTGGTGTTGATTCAAATGCAAATATTTGATATCTTTGGAGCGGAACAGAATTGTGTGTGACTGTGAATGATTATTCAAGCAATTGCTCATGGCAAGTACTTCCAAAAGTCTCCCATGAACATAATGCAAATAAGATTTAAAATTAAACACATCAAGTTAAATGTCAACCAAATGATGAATTAAGTTGTGCAATTACACTGGAAAAGATATGCCCCTACTATAGTGAGTGACCAGTATTGTAAACGAACTGGCAAATTAACATTGAGAATGCCATTGAAAATAAATAATTCATCCATTATGTTGAGACCATTTATATAGCAGTAAATGTAACTAGTGCCTAAAGAAGACCTGTGCATAGTTTTTAAATCATTTCAAAACATATTACAAAGAGCAGTCTGGGTGAATGCACATTATTTCTCAATTCATACTTGAAAATGATCTCAATAAAGCTATATAAATTGCCAACAAATTATATTCATCAAATGAAATGAGAGAGTTTGTTCTCTGTCTTTCAGACAAGTTGTTTGTTACCCTAGGTTAAGATGTCTTTTGTGTGGCATGTTTTTAAAGGATTTATATTAATAAAGCCACCGTGAATTAAACTATGGGTTTGTTTTGAAGCAGAACATTCAGCCAATTGTTATGCACTATTTCATCAAATATATTTTGATTCAAAAACCTTTCATCTTTTACAGAAGCAAATGTGGATTATATTTATATTTATTCATACTAGGCACAGTAGGAAATTTGTTTTCAAAAGAGGTTTGTGATGCCTTGTGAAAAGCAAATTGGAGTGCTTTAAAATGCATTTAATAATGCAAACAGGAAAGTAATGAGAAACTTTAAAAAAATGAAGTGGTACTGAATGCAAATGGAATTCTTAATTTGCACTTGCATTTATCTTATACTTACATGATCCCCTGGAATCTGACATGTTCAATCTGAACTTGTCAAGTCTAGATTTTGGCTTAGGAACACCAGTACTTGCTCTGCGAACAGAGCTTTCCTTCCGATACCCCAATGAAGATGGCAATGTCATGTCACCAGCTACACTTCCACTGTCAGCAGTTCTCAACCTGGAACCTGTGCGACTTTCAGTAACTTCAGATATATGCTCCAGTTCGACTTTTGACTCTCGTCTCCGTCGTTTGCTGTCCTCCCCAGTGTTTTTGGAGGCATCCTCAGCACCACTGCCTTCCTCCTCTGTTGTTTTTTCAGACTGTTTTTGCTGCAACATTTCTTGCTCTCTTTCCTTTTGTTCTCTTTCTGCTTTTTCTTTCTCTTTTTGTTGACGAGCAGCCTCTCTGTCTGCTTCTTTTTTATTTGCCTGTACTTGCCATTCTCTTGGCACATATGAAACATCTACAATCAAATCTGCATAAGTTGATTGCAACGCATGATATAAATGTTTTGGCAAATATGGTTCTGTACCTTCAAATAAGTATAAAACTTTAGCCAATTGGAAAAGAATATTTGGTGCTGAAAACTTAGTTTCTTCAAAGAGATATCTTTGTGAGTCTTCATCATGGTCTAGAGCAATGTCTAGTCTATTCTTTAAGGCACTGAAAGCCTGATTTATATCTGGAAGTAAACTTTTCTTCAACTGTACGTCTTCCGCTGTCTGTTGCTCTCCTTCCAACTCCCCTTCAAATCCATCTTCTTCTTTATTCTGACCAGCTTCTTTTTCTTTGTTGGCCAAAAATGCTGCTACTTTTGGGTTAAGATGAGCAAACCTCAAGCTCTGTGGAAGCTCTTCGGGTGTTTTCCGAAAGCGCTTTGGCGTCCGCCGAAAGGTCGTCTGACGATAGAAGAACAGATCGTCTGCCATTGTTGCGTTGAAATACGACGTCTTTTAACAATTATTCATATTTTCCTTCACTGTCCTTCATCATTCACTTGGCTATTTTATGAAAAACAAAAACGAAATCGCAATTGCATTGGGAACAAATCTACTTGTGATTAGTTTAGGAATATAAATTTGACGTAAATACATCGACAAAAAAGGCAAGATGGCGGCGTCCACAAGAAAATAAAGGCAAAGTGGACAACCAAAACTAAGAACCAAAACCTCTGTCTATACAGCAATTTTAAACATTTATGTAGCAGGATACTGTATAAAGATATATGTAGTATAACCCGCAAAATTCCTACTTTCACAGTTGATAAAATATTAAAACATTTGTAAATAATTAAACGGTAATCGAACCGGTGGGAATATTCCTACAAAGTTATCACGCAAATGAATGGTAGTGCACTTTGCGTCCAGCATAGGGACATACATACCAAAAGATATACGCTGCCCTTCATCCACTTCACTTCATTTAACCAAACTGATAATGATATATGCTCAAATTTATTCGTAAATACAGGGGAGTACCTGCCCTCCATCTGTGTCCGCCATCTTGTTTACGTGACCTTTGTTGCTACGCGACCTCATGAGCTTAGCATTTCCTAGCCTTACTGATTAAAACTGGAAGTGTCTGTCTGTATCTTTATGGTTGCGATAAAAATACCAAATTTGGAACTATTACAGGTGAAAGAGAGTTTCTTACATTTCNAAAAAATGAAGTGGTACTGAATGCAAATGGAATTCTTAATTTGCACTTGCATTTATCTTATACTTACATGATCCCCTGGAATCTGACATGTTCAATCTGAACTTGTCAAGTCTAGATTTTGGCTTAGGAACACCAGTACTTGCTCTGCGAACAGAGCTTTCCTTCCGATACCCCAATGAAGATGGCAATGTCATGTCACCAGCTACACTTCCACTGTCAGCAGTTCTCAACCTGGAACCTGTGCGACTTTCAGTAACTTCAGATATATGCTCCAGTTCGACTTTTGACTCTCGTCTCCGTCGTTTGCTGTCCTCCCCAGTGTTTTTGGAGGCATCCTCAGCACCACTGCCTTCCTCCTCTGTTGTTTTTTCAGACTGTTTTTGCTGCAACATTTCTTGCTCTCTTTCCTTTTGTTCTCTTTCTGCTTTTTCTTTCTCTTTTTGTTGACGAGCAGCCTCTCTGTCTGCTTCTTTTTTATTTGCCTGTACTTGCCATTCTCTTGGCACATATGAAACATCTACAATCAAATCTGCATAAGTTGATTGCAACGCATGATATAAATGTTTTGGCAAATATGGTTCTGTACCTTCAAATAAGTATAAAACTTTAGCCAATTGGAAAAGAATATTTGGTGCTGAAAACTTAGTTTCTTCAAAGAGATATCTTTGTGAGTCTTCATCATGGTCTAGAGCAATGTCTAGTCTATTCTTTAAGGCACTGAAAGCCTGATTTATATCTGGAAGTAAACTTTTCTTCAACTGTACGTCTTCCGCTGTCTGTTGCTCTCCTTCCAACTCCCCTTCAAATCCATCTTCTTCTTTATTCTGACCAGCTTCTTTTTCTTTGTTGGCCAAAAATGCTGCTACTTTTGGGTTAAGATGAGCAAACCTCAAGCTCTGTGGAAGCTCTTCGGGTGTTTTCCGAAAGCGCTTTGGCGTCCGCCGAAAGGTCGTCTGACGATAGAAGAACAGATCGTCTGCCATTGTTGCGTTGAAATACGACGTCTTTTAACAATTATTCATATTTTCCTTCACTGTCCTTCATCATTCACTTGGCTATTTTATGAAAAACAAAAACGAAATCGCAATTGCATTGGGAACAAATCTACTTGTGATTAGTTTAGGAATATAAATTTGACGTAAATACATCGACAAAAAAGGCAAGATGGCGGCGTCCACAAGAAAATAAAGGCAAAGTGGACAACCAAAACTAAGAACCAAAACCTCTGTCTATACAGCAATTTTAAACATTTATGTAGCAGGATACTGTATAAAGATATATGTAGTATAACCCGCAAAATTCCTACTTTCACAGTTGATAAAATATTAAAACATTTGTAAATAATTAAACGGTAATCGAACCGGTGGGAATATTCCTACAAAGTTATCACGCAAATGAATGGTAGTGCACTTTGCGTCCAGCATAGGGACATACATACCAAAAGATATACGCTGCCCTTCATCCACTTCACTTCATTTAACCAAACTGATAATGATATATGCTCAAATTTATTCGTAAATACAGGGGAGTACCTGCCCTCCATCTGTGTCCGCCATCTTGTTTACGTGACCTTTGTTGCTACGCGACCTCATGAGCTTAGCATTTCCTAGCCTTACTGATTAAAACTGGAAGTGTCTGTCTGTATCTTTATGGTTGCGATAAAAATACCAAATTTGGAACTATTACAGGTGAAAGAGAGTTTCTTACATTTCATCTTGGCTCTGAAGGCCCCAAAGGTGTTTGCATCTATCCACAATCGTCATTGTTCAGCTATGCTGATCTACAATTAAGTAGTCTAGGCCTATATAGTAGGCTTACATGTAGTCTAGTAATTTTAATAAAAATGTTTTGAGTAGCGGCCTATTATTAATAATTACCTGTAGGAATGACTTTTTAAACTTACACGGCATTGATTTGTAACATAAGTAACCAGAAAATTCTTTGTCTCAAAGACGTCAATTTAATGATAGGGCCTATCTATCTTGTAGACCTACCTGTAGGTCTATATAAAAATAGTGGTTGAGGGTAATATTTATGGATAGGATACTCGTTCCAGTAGGCCCTGTACCTGTGTGTCAGGGCACACAGGCCTATATAAATATATCGCACGTAGTAGCCCATTACAGTTTTTATTTTATTTATTTATTTATTTATTTATTATTATTAATATTAATTATTATTATTATTATTATTATTATTATTATTATTATTATTATTATTATTATTATATGGATAGGCTTACAGGGCTTGGAAAAAGAATCAGAACTCCAATCTTGACCTAGTATAGAGGTGCAAATAAGTTCACAGGCATGCTCTTAAAATATTTTGTGCACAGATTACAAACTATGTTTGATTATTTTAGGGTCCCACATGAAGAAGTTTCTATCAAAGTTTCACTCACCTGGAACAATGAATAATAAAAAATAATTCATCGTTACTGTCACAAATGCAAAACGGCCAGCTGTGAAAACGTTTTACTCACTTTGAAAATTCAATCATTACTGGTTTTGTTCTCTAATATATCTTCTTCATGCATGGCGTTTTAAAAAATTATGACAATTTTCTGTATTGAGCAGTTATTTATTTATTTATTTATTTATTTTTTTTTTTTTTTGAGTGACTTAAGTTTGCTTGTCACTGTCACAAATGCAAAACAACCGGCTGTGGTTCAAACGCTTTACTTACTTTGAAATTTCAATAATCACTGGTTTTGTTCTTTAATTTATCTCCTACACTTAAGTCCCTCAAAAAATATGATAATCTTCTGTATAGAGCAGTTACATTTTTTGAGCGACTTAAGTTTGCTTGTCAAAAGGGGGAAGATACCCTACGGTCAGTAAAATGAGCATTAAATAAACAATTTTCCATTCGTGGTCCATTATACATGAAATGTCAAACTATCATGGATCACACTATTTTTTTCAGTCAGCAACAGAAAACCCTTAGGCCTACGTCATATATAATTTACCATGACTGAATAACTATAAAATATATCGGAACGCGATATAAAAATTGAAATCAGGGGCGGATCCAGGATTTTTTTAAGAAGGGGGGGGGTCCGCAGATGCGAAACCGACCGCCCCCCCACCACCACCACCACCCCACCCCCTTGGTGTGGGATTCGGGGACCGCTGAAAGGCCCCAAAATTTTGGTATTTTAGAGGGAGAACAGTGCATACCCTTTGAAAATCTTCGCCCCTTTGGGAAATACATGTACAAAAAAAATAATTTTCATTATCATGCATGTACATGTACAGTATGTCGTCTGCAGCACATCGTTCACGCGTTTCGCGGTAGGTGCACCAGTGTCCCGTCACTATGGTTTATATCTTTTATATCGTATATTCATCATTGTATCTTTCATAAAAAAAAAGAAAGAAATGCACTCGGAAATGTGTTTTGGTAATAAAGCTTCAATAGATAGGGGGTAAGTAACTTTTATGTAGGACGTGGGGTATAATTATTCAGATAAAAAAACGAAGATTGGGGTAGGGGTGAACGGCAAATATCATGTACTTAAGTTGGACATATTTTATGTTTGGGTGGTAAATTTAATCTTGTCTCCTAACGGTTCATCAATTATTGAGTTAATCGCAATATTTTTCTCTTTGATGTCTTTTTGATTTTGATTTTTTCCCTTTTCTTCTCCATTACGCGCAGCTGATTAAATGTAAAACTTTTTAAAAATTTTTAGCTGTTATCAGACAGATGCGCACCTTACAGTAACAAGCAAACAGCTCATCTTTTCAAAGTCAATGCTATAAAGCTTTATCACGCAGTATAGAACAACGTAGAATATCAGGATGAACAGAGTTTTCATGCAATGAGGATGAAATTAACAACTGAACTGATGCCAATTGATATGTTTTGGCTGTCACTTGTCAATCATCTAGTGAAAAATCAAGGCAGATGGGGTCAATAAGTGCAAACACCTGGCGTAATCACTCGTTGGATAAAACCATTGAAATGAGCAATAATAGGACCGCCGGTAAAGAGACACCTGTTATTTTTGTTTTTTTTACAATTTGCAATCTATATAGGCCTACAAGTAATAAAGGCAGACTAGCCTTGCTCGTAGATAAAAATTAATGCTTTCGATGGAATAATAAAATACATTTTAAAATGTTTAATATATGTTGCTCTATAATATATACAGAACAGATTTAACATAGGTGTTCTTAAAAAAAGGTAAAGTGAAGCTTACTCTCACCCCAACCTGCCCCACCCCCGTGCTGCTACGCCAGTGATTGTGTTAAGCTAAGGCTTCGGTACTTATAGTAACTTATAGTAACTGGCTCGCGCTGCCAGTAATTACGCCGCGGGATATTCAGGGCACAGACCGTGATCATAAGACATACCGCAAATAGAAAATAGAATTTAGAAAATAGACATTGCATGTGAATGAAGCCTAATTCTAAATGGTCACCTGATCTAGACTATACCGAGCACTGTAAGCTTTGCTTTCCAGTTTTCGGAGGTGGGGCATGGGTTCGTTATTCTAATACTATTACACATGTAGGTTGGGGCGTGGTTAAATCGGTGTTGCAAGCTGTTCAGGTGAGGATGACCCAAAGTATTTTTTAATTCGAGAGCATAATATCACAACATAACAATGTTTATTTCTGCATTGTCTAAGCGGGTAGTGATGAATCCTAATGTATCGATCTCCACCAAACATCTGGTTCGAAAAGTGCTTACCAAATTTCTCAATCCTTCGTCATCCTTCCATTCAATCACATTATTTACATGTAGTATATGTAGTTAAAAACATATCTACGCCTTTGAATGTATAACGTTTCATTACAGAAAAGAGCAAAAGCATTGCAAATATAGTACTCTCCTACAACCGCCCCCCCCCCCCCCCCCCCCCCCCCATTAAGAAACCACTTGAATGTTCCTTTTTCAATATTTCATACTGTCATTAAATATACAAGCAGATACCCTTGTTCCGTCTTGAAACTGCATATTTTTAATAACCATATTTCATTACATGTATAATTTGTTGAACCACATAAATATAAATAATTGCCAACAGTATTTTAATCGTCTGCGTTCTTTTGGTTACGCCAATTTTTCTAATCATCCAAAACTAAGCCAGTTTTCACATAAGCAATACGTCAACTTATGCATCTTATGCATTCTCATTCTGCTGCAAAGAGAGGTACCTCAGGCATAGAAATAAAAGCGACTTTTCACCACAAATTTAATTAAGTCGTTTAAACTGGATTCACTATTCTGTCGTAAGTGATGATATATTCAGGATAGCACATTGTTTTCTCGTAAATAATAAACTCCCTGTACAACTCAGTGGAAACGTCTGCTATCACGGAGTCAAAATGACTGGTGTGGGTACATTTGACTTGCATGCAGCCTTTAACAGTACAAGGAGGACGTGGAAATTGTTTCTTTTCACGTGTGAGATATGGTCGACCCATGCAGGCACGAACAAGGAACATTTTCAACTCTTTCATCCCGCGGTTCGTTTTTTCTGAAAAAGACAGAGATGGTGTCACATATAGTGAGGCTTTTACATATAAATTCACAACACAACTATCTATCTCTCCATATATATATATATATATATATATATATATATATATATATATATAACATTTTTCTTCAGTGCCAGCATCAATGTCAAACATTTGTCAAAACGTATATACATGTACATCAAGATAAATTTCCCATCAGCAGGATCGTTATTCTTTATCACTATTTACTATATAAAGGCAAGTCCTTTTCAAATGATTTAGTCACTGCATACATAAGTCATACACATGATGCTACTTTAGTATTTACAGAAGGCGTTCTTTTTAACAATATAATATTGCCTATTTTGTCTTTAAATTTTAATCTTTTAAAGATGTAGAAAATGACGGTCTTACTTCGCTTTGCTTCTTTTATCATGTCTAGCTCTGCCTTCGAGAAATTTTCTGCAAGGTAAATGCCCCTTCCAAGGGGTCCTTCCTTTGAGATCCTAAAATCAAATCCAGTGGCACATATTGCTTCAGCAACATTTGCGTTTGTCCCGTGAAAAAAATAGTATTCATTCAGCTCATTTCTTAGGCCCTCATTTAAGATTCTGGAAAGTTTGTACGTATAGGCGTTCATCCATGGCGCTTTCTCAAAAGGATGCTGATAACATTTCCTGGATATGTCTTGTAATTTGCAAAAGTATTGGCTCCATAGTCGCGGATTTTCGACCCGCTCTACCTTTGTTATCTTAAAATCAGCGTTACCTCTTGCATGGATAAGCATTTTTACTTTAGACCACGACTTTGTCATCATACGACTGATCTCGTCCTGTATTTCACCGCTGCTAACATCGACTATCATGACCTTACCTTCTTGGCCTAAAAGATGAAACAGAAATTTTGTTTTATTCAAAATCGGGACTAAGTGATTCAAATTTTTTTCCGTTTCAAAAGAAGGTAAATTTCATTTCTCTCAATGAATTCAAACCCAGTGAAATATTAACAGCAATTTTGTTGATATAAAAAAGGACACGGATTTCAAAGCTTTGTCAGTGCGAAACTGAGATTTACATAATCAGGGAATGTCTAGAAAGAATACAGTAGCTCTTTATGGTATTGCGGTCGTTTCTTTACCTGCCCATTTCTTAAAATCATTCTGAAAATTAACCCAATAACTTGGTGCCAGTATTTCCATTTCCACCACTTCATTCGCTTCGTCTTGCTGTTTCTTTCTTTGAGCCAACATCTTTTGTCGTTTTCTAGCCATACGGAAGATTCTATAGACATCATAGATTAGACCTATAAGGCAGGAGAATAGCAATGGCAACATGGCATACACCTTGATATACAACGAACTGACGTCACCCGGGTTATCAAGGAAGTAAACCAGTATCACTGCCGACCAACCAAAACACCAGGCATCTGAGAATTCGGGAATAACTTTCAACAGCCTTCCTGGAATATAGAATCCATGAATGAATGATACATGCAGTGTCAAAGTCCAGTCTTTTTACATTCATTTAAAGTTCATTACACACTCCAGGAAATGTTCTATATAAAAAGAAATATAAACAGGTTTTAATCGACATTTCAAACAATCATGGTTGAATCAAAAAATTTCACATTTCAAAGTTATCCAAATACTTCGTGTAGTATTTCGACAACTTACCATTGCTGGCGACATACAGAAACAGCAACGTCACATAAAGAAAAAAGGCACCAAAAACAAAAGCGAAGCCAACAGCCCATGGAAGGTCCATGTTTATACCCTGCACTATGATTGTATAGATGGCAGCACTTATCTGGTGGACAATACTGTTGTCGTATGTGGAACTTGATATCATCAAAACCGCTCCAACAAGCCACAATAAACTAAAGATGACGTATAGCAAACAGCAAATGAACAAAAACTTTCTGTCTTTACACGGTTCTGACTCACTGCACTTGCAACATGCACAGCAACATGTGAAAATCATGACTGGTGCAACAATCAGAATAAGGACTGTGTGCGGTGCGAATAGAATAGTAAAACCAAAATCTGAAAAGCCCCAACTGTCCCATATTCCGTCCAGCCAGAGTGTGCCAAGAATCTTTGCCGCTGATCCAGCGGGAAATCCAGCAAGTAGTGTATACGAAAGATGCACGCGTTTAACATCTTGAAACACAGCATCTTTGTCCTTGCTTTCCATCTTTTTCATATACAACACACATACGTGAATGGCTTGTGATACGTCATACAGGAGTAGCGGAATTAATGCATATCTTGCAGGAATCGCCAGCAATAGCCCGGTACATAATGCACAAACGCCTGCCCATTTGAAAACATCCACCAATAGAGGTCGCTCTATCTCCACGAGTATCTTTACAGACCACACGCACAAGTCTTCATCTTCTTCTATTTCCACTGATGTTTTGATGGCCATGGTTTTCTCCCGTGTCAAACCAGCATATACTTTACTGTGTAATAGAAAAATTGTCAATTACATCCATTTTCAAATATTCACAATAAAAATTAGAGTATGGCATTTGTTATAGTGCCGAATGTAATTCACAATGTTCTATACGTAACAATATTTAAAAAAAAGGAAAAAACCAAATAGATTAAAGAAAAAATGTGACTAGGATATATTTTGAATTGATTATCATAAAGGAAAAAACAATATCAGACTTCTTTAATTTTAGAGAAAGTAGTTACGACTACTTACTTTTTTCCTTTTCTGTAGATGCAAGTTTGAAGGCAGACACAGGCAATTAGAACGAGCATTAGAGAAGATGCCGATACTGAAAAAGTAAAATATGGATGGGGATGAATCTGTCTTTCTATTTCACAAAGTCTTCAGATCTGCTTGCGAAGATACGTTTTTAATGTAAAATGGGGAAATGTTTGAGTAAAATTAAAGCAAGGTGGCAAATGAAAATTCACTTATAAGCTTAAACTAAAAGCAAGTATAATTCTTTATATGATGTTTTTCATGCTTATAAAATCGTTTATATGTCAACTTATGAATAACCTCTTATCCACTGCCAGACAGTTAACCGGTAGCAAGGTAACCAATGGCAATGAAAAATATTATTGACTCAACACCTATATACATTGTTACGTAGGCTAATCCCACAAATCAATATACCAGTATTTAAATCATTGCCTATCAAAGGTGAAAGCAGGTCAGGCTAAGTGCAATATTTCACATTTTATACGTTTAAGAAGATATTGTTTTGAATAATGAAATGTATTGGTTTGCATTGATAGAGTGGTGCTGGTTTTGTTTTATAAAGTGCTACGGTTATTAAAAAGATATCAAGTGGTTTGTCTCTGTAAAACACGGTCATTTTGCAAAAAAAAAAGTTCAGTAGTATTGAGCAGTGCACACCCAAATACGGGTTTTAAGACAGATACTCCAATTTTTTATCGAACCTTAGAGAAAAAAGGACTGGATGAATATATTGCATTTCTCAAGGCCCGTGGAATGAGGACATTTTTGGCCTTGTAATGGCAAAAATGCCCTCATCATCGATCGCGGCATCACTAGAAACTAGAATGTTGAGTCCAAAAACGGCTACATGCCGCGTTTTATTAAAAAAATAATAAGAAAACTCACCGTTTCACAGCGTAACTAATACCCGATCAAAAATAATAACGTGCAGTTAACAATTGACGAAAATCTCGTCTCTGATGTTAATAGTTAACTTGTACCGAAAAAAAAAGGTTTCACAATTTTAGTTTAAAAAGCTAACTTACCTGACCATTATATAGTTGAATATGTTTCCAAAGAGTACTTGGAATAATTCATGGTTGGGACAAGTGAATGGATGTCCCCGAGACCGGTTGTTGTGAAATAACTGTCAGTGGTACCTTCACTACTCGACCATGTTGACAACGTCGTAATGTTGCCTACTAGGGTCCCGTTGGTACCGTTTGTTGTTGAATTCGCCATGATGCAGTGTCGGTATACCAGAGCGCAGGGACCTGGTTTCGTCACATAGGGTCTTAGATATCGGAGAGGTGGCTGCGCATCCTCCGCTTTACAGGGCTTACTAGCGTCCTGTTACCAAGGTGACGCCCTTCTGCAGCTGCGTTAGGACTGGATACCATATCTCAGATATCTGTGCTGCCAAACATTCATAGCGTCACGACTGCAGCTATCGGGAATGATCACAGCGTGATGACAATTTCACTTAGGTAAAGTCAACCTGTTTTTCCATCTAGTCCCCTTTACTGACCTAATCTACTACAATGTCTCATTGTTACTTCGTTGTTTAATCACGCTTTCGGATTGGTTAAATCCACCGTGATTTTAAACTAAAGTAAATTAACTCTGATCCCAGTGCGTTTTAAGCTTCTTACTGGCCATATTCCATCCGGATTATTTTTTCTGATATGCCTTCTTTTTTTCAGTCATTTGAAATACATCGATCTGTATAGGCATAGTTGTTGTTTATTTACCCAACTGCATAAACATGGCTACCAACGCTTTCCTGGACTTTCAAAGAATATGACATTTAATCACCGAAATTGTTAAGGTAAAAGAGGGCGCGAACGCTAAAACTTTCGACAAAACTGGTATTGGAAGTAATTTATAACAGTTACATGTACAACAAAATGTATGCATTGCAAAACATGTGACAAGAAAATCAAATGCTTAAAATGATAGAGTATTTCAAAAGCAAATTACATCTGTGATTTAAAGAAGTTGCAACCAAGACAAAATTCATCATTCAACCAGCATACGCCTTATTAGTGTGTTTTAAACGATTTACTGCATAATTTTTAATATTTTCTCCAGTTGGGTTCTGTTCTGGTGATCAATCGTATATTTGGTATAATAATTCGCAAAAGCTTTGTCCAAATAAACATCGATTGAACCAGAATGCCAGAGTAACCCAAAGTTCATGATATTCAATAAAGAAGTCAATATTTGATCCTTAAAGACCAAGCATAAATTACAAAATTAAAGATAATAACTATAAGAAAAAATAGATAAAAACAAATAAATAAAAGAGATTAGATTTTGAAGATAAACCGTGACATAATACAATTCAACTGATATGCAATAAATATATAACATTACTATTATCCCATATAGCGCAGATTTCCATCACCAGTGCGGACTACAAATCTGTGAAATCTGTGTAAAGACCGTGCTTTATGGAAGACACCATTTTACTTATTTCCACGACAATAGAATAGACACGAATAAGCACGGGGTAGCCTCTCGAAAAAACATGATCTCGTTTTTAAGTGGGCAACACACTTGCCATCAACAGGTTTGAGGTTATGTGTGTGTATTTGTTATGTCATATGACGGTGCGAAAAAGAGACATAGTATACCCCTAACCAAACCTCTCGTAGTACTGATTTGAAGCGGGATAACGCGCCAGTTCACACTCTGAGCTGCGTGGAAGCTGTGCGTGAATATCGCCATGAACTCCCCCCCCCCCTGCCTCGCCCTATTCTCCAGAACTATCCTCAGCGACTTCCACCTACTCGTATTTCTCGGAATAAAAAATATCCTAAGGGTGGGAGATTTGAGGATAACGATGAGCTGACAACTGCTGTGGGATGACTGGCTAGAGGACCAAGATGTTGAGGTCAATCGATCAGGTATCAGTGATTGGCAAACTAGATGAAACAATTGTGTGGAGTTGGAAGGGGACTATTTCGGAAAAATAAAGCAGTGTAAATCCAAATATTTTGTTCAAAGAGTTTTGAAACCCCCTCCTACACCGTATATTTAAGGGTTGTTGAAATGTTCATTGTTATTTATAAATTTACTTTTAATTAATTCTTTCATTCTGTTTTCTTATGAGCATAACCTTCTCTGTTTAGATATGGCATTTTATGCGTTTGTTCGGTCAAGGAATGGAAATCTGTAAATTTAGACCCCATTCCCATAGATTTTAGATCGATCTATCCCTGTGGGGAGTCTCACTAGATTACTGTCAGCTTAGCCGGCTTAAGCGTCTGTCCCGCCTACTAAAAGCTGTAAGGGGGTAATTAAATATCAGGGGCGGATTTAGGCCGTCTTCTGGGTCTTCCAGAAGACGGTCAGATTTTCAAGTTTACATTGACGGGTATCCAATTTTTAATGTTGGAAGACGGTCAAAATTGGAGGATGAATCAACAAAGATAATTTGGAAGACTGTCAGTATATAGCTCTGGATCCGCCCCTGAATATGGTGCGCGCTCGGCTGACTGCAATTTAGCGTGAATCCCCAGGGAGTAAGGTACGTCGATCTAAGACCCCATTTCCATAGATTAGATCGATCTACTTTAGATCGACCTAACTCCCTGGGGGTTCACGCTAAATAGCTGTCAGCCGAGCGGACACGAAAGTTAATTACCCCCTTACAGCTTGTAGTAGGCGGGACGGACATTCAAGCCGGATTATCTGACAGTAAGCTAGTGAGACTCCCCACGGGATAGATCGATCTAAAAGCTCTGGGAATACGCCCTAAATCTAAATCTCTGGATCGATCTAAATCTCTGAGAATGCACCCTTAGTCTGCGCATGCAAGTGATAACCTTGAATTGCATCAGGTACGTTTACATGTGCTCATCACTTATTAAACGATAACTAGCATTCAATTGTTTATAACTTATCAAGCTCAGGGTTCATGTAGAGAGAGTGTATTTGCATGAGCAACATAATTAGCGAAACAAGACGTAAATCTATATCCCTTTTCTTATGGTCCTTCTGAGCCGACAGTAAAACCGGGATCAACCATTCAATCTGTATGATTTTTGCGGGTACGGGTAGTGCTACTGTCGTAAAGAAATCACCTAAAATATTTATCTAAAACTTCATTGGTTTACTTCATTTCATTTCCTCTCTCTGACTCTTTATATATCCTGATTTTTCTCTATTTTGCTACACAAGTAGCTGCTTGTTTAGGAATAATTTTTCTTCTTTTTGCTGTTATCACACATATAATATACAGGCACATATACACCTTGCAGCAACATATTAAGTTTTTTTCCCATGTCTGCAGAAGTATAAACATTTATTTGTGCGGTGCTGATAGAACAGTACACGTCTCACTGAAATGCAAGGTTGCACAAAATATGATAAAGTAATTAACAACTGAGCTGATGCTAATTGACCTGTTTTTGTTGGCACTTGTCAATCACCTAGTGAAAAATCAAGAGAGATGGTGTCAATGAGTGCAAACACCTGGGGCAGTTAACGAGACTGGCGTTAGATATCAAGCTTCATCCAAAAAATATAGGCATGTTGTTAGGAACAGACTATCATTCAAAGAAGGTAAGATATTTTATTATTTACCACCTCCCAACTCATAACCTCAACTTTGCTTGCCATGACTTTTTCTCACAGACATAGTTGGGCTTTCGTACCTTCGGCCTATTATCCAGGCGTTTACTAACACTCCCCGCAGATCTTTTAGCATTTTCGCCCATATTATAAATCTACGGATGGTGTTAGTAAACGCCTAATCCGTTTATTAGGCCTGTCTATACACGCAGAATTTAAACCAAAGTGAAACCGGGAGTTAAATAAAAATGAATCAAATTATTAATAACCAACTGGGGGTAAACATAACAGACTGTGAGACACACTCGTTTTTACAAGAGCTCTGAGAAGGGTGTTTTCATATTTGCATCCTATTTTAATTTTCTACAAAAGAACTTAACACGAAAAAGATGCGAATAGTTAGCAGGGGTATACTAAAATAATAATAACAATTATAAAAAGTTTTGAGCTCCACATGCGTCCCAGCGGTGTTTACAATAATAAAACAAAATACCTAGTGTACAATACATTATTGCTTAAAACAAAATAAACCAACTGAAAGAAAGTGAATTCATAAATTTTTAACTTTGATCAATTCCGTGACAAAAATTTGCCTGGACAATATATTACCTAAATGTACAATGACATACTAGAATCATAAAGCCAGACAAAATTTACACCGGATGAATTGGTTAACAGTCGGCTACTCTCAGTTAGCAGGGTCGGTGAACAGATTATTTTTTGCTTTTTATTTACATGTGATATTTAACTAGCTAGCAGTTGAATTTCAGGGTAGATCTTTTTTTTTTTCAATTAAGAGGTGGGAATTTCCATTTTCACAGAGTGGGCAATAAAAACAAAATCATTAAGAATTTCTGCGTTCAGTTGAAAATCTTTTCACTAACCAAACCAATACCAAATAAGTTTTTCCATTTGTTAAAAAAACCTGATGTCCCAAAGAAAAGGATCGGTCCCACTTGTTAACCATTTTATCAATTTTGTATGGCCTAATTGGACTTTAATCAACTTTTATGCTTTTAAGTCAAAGACTTCTGCATCTTCAGTAGTTTCCTTTGATTCACATCGTCACTGACAACAGAGTGATTGCATAAGAAGTCAGACCGGCTCTCACTGAATAATGTCACAGTGAGATCTGAAATGTCTTAATAAATCCACTCTCCTCTGCAACAACTAACTGTTCTTGTGTGTCAAAGGCGACAGCTTGTGGATTCTTCAGTCCATCCTCCCGGGTGACGACATTCTTCAAGAAACGGCCATATTTGCTTATCATTACCACTCTGTGATTCCAGTAATCTGCAATGAATATACGCCCCGAGCTATCTGAACACACTCCCTTGGGCTGCCACAGCTCCCCGTCACCGCACCCGGGGCTCCCATAGTGGGCTATTACCTCTCCGCTAAGGGTCATCACGAACACACAGTCACCCCCATAGTCGGAGACGATGATGGAGCCGTTGGACAAGTTCACTGCGATACAACATGGTATATTACACATGTCCAATGCAATGGAGGACAGATGTTTTCCACTGGTGGGTTCAAGTATAACCAAGCGTTTCTTAACCGAGTCACATATTACCAGCTGGTTTTGAGAGATCATGGTGACGCCGAAGGGTTCCTTCATTAACCCTTTACCTAAGGTCATTGACTGTCGACCTTGAGCGTCGAACACCCTAACCAGCTGATCGTCGAAGATGCTGACACATATGTCTCCGTTTGGGAGCACCTCGACTCCTCCCGGCTCGTTTGCCGCCAAAACGGTCTGTATTTGTCCTGAATGCGTCAGGATCTTTACTCTGTTGTTGGACATATCCGCAAGGTAGATGTACGAATCATCCACAATCATGTCAGATACTGAGCACCTGTCTTTGTCATCCACGAGTTTTGCATTGAACGTTTGCTTCAGAAGAGGTCGCTCCTCCAGGCTTGATTGAGAGGTGCTACCAGTGCTTGAAGATCTGCTGAGCGGCACAGTGTAACCTGCTGCGATTTCTTCTGGGGTTATTACCCGTGAAAACAGTCGCCGTTCTCGCCCGGACTGCCGAGCTTCTCCAGAGTCTGTACTTAGTGATACTTGAATGTTCCCCAGCATGTCATCAAGAGATCTGTCAATCGGTTTATATGTTATCACGCGAGAGAAATCTAACATTGAAATGTTGAGTGGAATGTCGGTTTGAAGAGACTCGCTAAGATTGGATAGCCTCTCTAGCAGAGCCTTACTTTGGGACATAACAACAGCGTCCGTCCCGCTCTGAATCAGTTGCTCAGCAAACTCGCAAGCACTGTGAATGGTGACTTGTCTCATTTCAAGTTCGTCTTTGAAAGCTTCCAGTTGTTTGGTTTCGTCATCTTCAACCGAAGCCACTTCCGCGTTAAGTCTCCGACTATGGTCCTCAGCAGCTTCGACTATTTTTCTCAAATCTTGTTTTATATCTGATACCACAGCCTCTCGCTGACGTTTTCTCTGCTCCGCAATCCGGGTTGCATTTTCCTCTTCTTGTTTTAAACGTTGCAGCTCTTGCAACGGTTTTTCAATCGCTGATTTTAGACGCTCCTTTTCATTTTCCGCGACGTCTTCCACTCGCACGCACTTGTGACCCTGATGATAGTCTATAATGCAGTCTCCGCAGACAGTTGTCTCATCCAAGGAGCAATAGTACAGTAGTTCGCGTCCAGAGTGGTTTTGACACTGTATAGTCAACTTAGATATGGCTTGCTTGACTTCGTCAATGGTCGCCTGTTCTTCGTCTTTATTTTTCTGTTGTTCTTCTAAGATTTCTATGGCTTTGATAAAGGCAAAGTTTTTCTTCAAAGTCCGTAGGCCACCCGACGGTACGGCGTTGGGTTCTCTGCACAGTGGACAGAGAAACTGAAAACCATCTTGTTCATTTTTATGCTGAGTTCTATTCCCGTGGTCTGTTATACACTTCAGACAGAAGGTATGATTGCACGTCAGCACTCGAGGGTCCTCATATTCTTCTAAACAGATGCTGCAAGTTAGTAGATTATCGACAAAAGCAGTAGCTAGCGCTTTCGCCATCTTTAATATTTTCATAAATAGGCAGCTCTATTGTGTTCCTGCCCCAAATAAGCTAGCTGTAGCTTAAGTAAACACCATGCGTGTGTGCTCGCTTTTGCATTTTTGTTCTTTCACTAAGGGGGTCGGTAACTTGTTTCAAAAAGCCTTCCTTAGCTGATGACTTGGGTCTTATGGGTTGGTTCACGAAAGTTCTCTTTCATGTGTGTGACATTTTCAGTTTTTACACCTTAGAAAAGTGAGATAGGTCAACTTGACATTAGCTGGTGCCAGTTGGTCGCTTCTGCATTTTAGCCTGGCGCAGAAAAAGATCAACTGAATGCTTTTTTATATATACAGAAAGACGGTCCGTTTTAAACCTGTTGTGTGTTTCTCTATTCACAAAAAAATTGTGCAAATACAACAGGGAATCTGAACGAATAAACAGGATTATCACCGATAACAATTATAAACGACCATAGTAAAGGAACACATTGTGAAAGAAAAGGCCCAAACATAGTTTGGAATAAAATTGTAGGCCTATGTAAATTTACAATCCGTCCTATGAAAAGAATAACTTTTCTGCAATAAAACTGAAAACATCTTAAGAAAAGGCCTTATAAATATGATTTTATGTTATATCTATTGGAGTGATTTACGGTGAAGACGCTGGTTAGACAATTTTTATTTAAATGATGGGGATAATTAAATGTACGCAGCAATTATGCTTCAATAAAAATGCTGGTTGTTAAAATTTGGCATGGTTAAAAAAATATTTAGAGAGAATGGGTATTTCATAAGTGATTTATTTTATCAGTCTAAAAACAGACATTAATTAAGTAATAAATTAATTAATTGATTCACCGCAACCTATTATATTGTATGCATGTTACGTTCTTTACACATTGGAGTAACAAGATTATACTTAATTTTTCAAACTTTCCCAAGAACTTTAAAGATCTCGACACGCGTTCAAATATCATCCTTGCTTTGGAAGTCTCTTGGATTATTCAAATATCCAAAACAGTAACGCTTGAAACTCAAGGTAACATCTAGTGAATGCAAATAATGAGAATGGTCATTCACTTTTTCACACTAAACATGCACACTGAAATCGATATTTAGGCCTTTTAAAAATGTCGTTAGCTCCAATAATTTGACACAAATTTTCCGTCACTTTTTCCACAGAAATATTAAATTTCACATCAAATATATGCACACAAATAATACTTTTAAATATAATTTGTCACTTTTAGAACAACTGTTGTTGTTGTTTTTTCAACGGAATAATAAAACACATTTAGATGTTTAACGAAACTTCCGTTACCCTCATGATTCATTTTACATGAAAATGTGCTTTTCTTGATACAACGCCATCTAGCGAACGTTATTCGGTATCCAAGAGAAACTAACATGGCGGACATCGAGCCGACCGATAGCCAACAGGGGTTTGCGACTCCCCTTTCTAGCTATCCAGTGGCTTATGAAGACCAGTTATTGATGCAGAGTAATGCCAATATTCTAACCTTAGACGATTCAAGAGATCCAGGACCAGAACTGCCCGACAGCGCTCTTGGAGGCCAAGACGATTTTGATCCCGACCGCGATTCTGATGACAGCGGCAACAGCACAGATGACGAGGATGTTCAGGTATCTTGAAAATCATCTTTTCTTTCTTCATCCGTCGTTTCATTCAAGGGAAATATATTCGAAAGCACATTATCTCAAGCCACGTCGTTGTTTGCCAGTCCAAAGTACATATATGGCCACTAAGTAAAATACCAAAACTCCTATATACAGTGAACTAGTATATCTAGATTATATGAACATACGATATCAATTATCTAGTTATAAACTTTGCTTTTATACCCCCCAGTTTTCTTGCAAATGACCGTTTCATGTATTTGCTTGTGACCGAACTCATTTTTTCTAGTATTTTGTGCTGTGTGATGCTGTATTGCACATTTAAGTATGACCGAGAATGTTGATGCCAGTGTTTTTACGAAAGTCTTTTGGTTTCAGTTGTCACCAGGTGGCATTTTAGATGAGGAGACCATTGCCAGAGGTCTCTCCAATCTGGGAAGATCAGCAGATGGCACACAGCAGGTGTATTTGCATCTTACAATACCAGTGAGTATATCACCAGTGCACTCTCTCTCTCTCTCTCTCTTCTCTAGCCTATCTTTTTTGACAATACTTTTTAATTTCCCTACCTCCTCTATCATATATATATATATATATATATATATATATATATATATATATATATATATATATATATATATATATATATATATATATATATATATATATACTGTATATTATTCAATGTTAATTTTCATTATTATTCTTTCTTATAGGGTCTTGGCTTGCAAGATGTCAGTATTTTGAATGAATATATTCACCTACAGAAGTTGGAAATCCCATACAATGATATTACAGGTAAAATGTCCCATCTATCATTTTTTTTAATTTATTGGTTCATTTTCATTATTTGATGTACCTGCCTACCTATTTGATATACATCCTAGTTACAAAGAGTTATATATATGATAAATATATATTGTGTTGGATGTCATGGGTCTTGTAAAATGTAATAATGGCCACAATCAATAACCTTTTTCTTCTTCCTGTTTCAGACCTCAGTCCACTTGGTCAGATGCCACATCTCCTGATACTGGACGCCTCACACAACAAAATTAGTAAGCTGCTGGACTTCAGTCCTCCGCGGAACCTGAAGGAAGTTGACCTGTCATTCAACTGCATCACAGAGATGGCTGACCTCTCTGCTCACCACTACTTGAGGAAGTTATGTCTGGACAGTATCCTTGATGTGATAGATATATTTCATGTTATGATATGATTATTTAAATTGATTTATTGATTAACTTGTTATATTACCACTTAAGTGATTATGGTCATTTTTTTTGCATAAATTATCTTTATGTTAAAATGATTTTTGTAGTGTTCATTTTCGTATTTTATTTAGTGGCCATATGTCAACCACTTACAAAAATTGGTTAACAAATGGGAAAAAATATGGCTCATTTTTTTTTATAATTAGCTTACTTTGAGAAATTTACAAGTGTCAGATCACTTGATAGTTTTCAGTTGATTTTTTTTTTTTGAAAGATGTTACTTGGTTTTATGCTGATCTTGCCCCCAAGCTTTTCTTAACCCATGACCAGACAACCAAATCAGTGAAATGAGAGGACTGAGTCACTGTAAAAGACTGAGCCACCTCAGTCTGGCACATAACAAAGTGAACAAGATTCAGGACTTGGACAATTTGCCCATTAAACATCTTAATTTGGTAAGTATTCAGAATTGTCATGTTGTAATCTGTACAGAATTGCCACTTCAGTGTTACATTTAATTGCAGAGTGTTATTTCACCCCTATCTGTACTTATTGCTTCAATCAGCAATTTGTAGGAACTTGTAAAAATCTTTTTTAAGTAGATTTTAAAGAAATAACTATAAAATCCTTACCTTATTTCTGAGATGTTTCTTTCTCACCATTACTTTCTCTTTTAATAGAGGTCAAATGAAATCAAGAAGATAGAAAACCTAGAAACACTCAAGTATCTTTTGGTAAGTAGATAGCTATTATTATCATTATTATTTTTGTTAGTAAAATTTCAGTTACGATGCAACATCTTATTTTACAAAAGTATAACCAACATAAATCTTTGGATGGTTACAGAATTTTATTGTTCAAGTAGAGCATTCAAATAATGTACATACGATGAAAGCTTAAGCTCAACTGTCCTAAAAGTCCAGTGGCACTCTTGAGGTGAGGGGTGGTCCCCTTCCCTTTCATTGGTCAGTTCAGTATTAAATTATCCCCAGCCAACAATACGCAATAGATGTGATATAAATCTTAAACTTTGACTTTGATGTTTTAGAACTCTATCTTCATCTCCAGACGGGATCAGTTAATTGTTCCAAAACAACAATAGCTATCTATCCTGTGATGTTATCAACGCACAGTGAATATAATTTAATGATCCTGACTGCAGATTAAGGTCACCATGAAGGCATTTTACTAGATATCTTATGAAATTAAAATGAGTTTCAAATTTTAAAATCATCTCTATTATAAAAGGTTTTAATTATATTAGCTTAGATTATAGTAGACGTAACTTGAATGTAACAATTTAAGCACCATAAAGCAATACAAAGTAGTAATAATGATAAAAGATCAGAAAAAGGAAATTTGAGAGTAGGAATAATTTAGAATTACAAGGATATTAAAAAGTAGAATTATTGTAAGTCCACACTTTATTTTTGCATTTTCATTTCAGTATATCAATCTGTCTGGCAACCAGATCAGAAGCTTGAAGGGACTGGAGAGACATGACCTCCTGGAAGATATTGAGATGGAGGCAAATGAGGTATATGTTAGAAGTCATGCACCTCTCTAAATGTCCAAGTAAAGTCCAAGTAAAAGAAAATGAAATGAATAATAAAATATTTAAAAATCAATACTGACAAACAGAAGATTGCTAGCTTATAAAAAGCAGAATAGAGACCAGTTAGATGACTCTAAAAAATATAAAGAATAAAAAGACTTTGGACAAAAAATTTAAAAAAAGTTTGAACCTTAATGTCCAGGGACTGTAACAAGAGGTTCAGTTAAAGCTTTCAGCCTCCCTTTGCTCTTTCACCTTTCTTTGATCTTGTCATACTGTTGGTTTAGGTATACAGGTGTATATCCTTGAAAATAATTGAAAAAAAAACTGGGCACAAAATTTCCCATCCATTCAGTCACACTCTCACTTTTTTCCAGATCATAGACATCAATGAGATTCAGTATGTGCGACAGTTGCCCATGCTGCGTCAGTTTGATCTGCGTAGGAACCCTATCCAGGAACTCCCTAACTACAGACTGTCCATACTGTATCAGCTACAGAGGCTAACAGAACTGGACAGACACAAAGTGGAGCCTGAAGAGAAGGTATTTATCAGTTTATTAATTTCAGGTGGGCTATGATAGTCTTGGGCTGTCTACACCATTAACACGGAACCCACCCAAAAGGCAAGCAAAATTGAAGCTAGGCAATTAAATAGGTCTTTCATTTGGGTCAAAATGCCATGCAACATAGGTAGCAGACATGTCCAGTCTTTTTAGAAATGATTTACTCTTTTACCATGTAAAATGACAAAAATATCTTCAGATAATGGTGACTATATCTCTTTTTGGCAGTAATGGTAGATTCTTAGATCCTGTTGGATTGAAGAGCCATCAGAGTAAAAGAGCAAAAAGGTTTTTAGGGGAGGTGGTCACTGTGGTCGTTTGGAACTGATATCATTTAATGATACTGCTCTTAGAAACAGAATGTACTTTGTTCAAATATAGTGAGTTGTCTATGTACACTGTCCACTTTTCAGGTGGCAGCCAAGAATCTGTTCCACCCTCCTGCTGAGGTTGTAGCTGCACGTGACCACATCATGCACACCGTCTTCTCCTTCCTGCAGTCTACAAGGATTTACGACAGGTATGGAGTGTGACATTGTGTCTTGTATAGCCATATAATCCATGTTTAACAGTCTGTCTGAAGGGACCAATGCTGATATTATGTGGAAATCCTTGGCCCACAAAACTATCAGGTATTTTGTTCTGGACATAAGCCATGATAAATTTGTTATGGACATAAGCCATGATATAATTGTTTTGGACATAAGCCATGATAAAACGAATATTATACCATTTCAGAATGTGTATATCAATCACTATTATCATTGTAGTACCCTGCCCAGCATAGAGACCCCCTACCCAATGCTAGTATTAGTGGGACCCAAGGGATCCGGCAGGAGAGACCTGGGTCTTAAACTGGTGGATGAATTTCCAGATTACTTTGGATATGGGTACGTAAGAATCATTATAATTGTAAAAATCGGAGGGTTTTTGCACTCGTGCCTGTGGTAATAAGCAAACATGCCATAGTTAACATGTATTCACTGGTGTCCAATTTATTGTTTGTGGGTCCATTTGGTTGCCAGGGTGTTAGTTCTTCTGCCACCTCATAGACATCATAAACAAAGACATTGAGATTTTTAATATTGTCCAAGTTTTGTTCATCTTGGCACATAAATGTTAAACATTGCAGGGTGTCCCACACTACCAGAAGAATGCGCCATGATGAAGAAGATGGAAAAGATTACCATTTTGTGTCCATTGATCAGTTTGAATCAGAAATCAAACATGTAAGTGACTTTAGTGGATGGAATACATTAAAGCAACATGGCTGGTTCTCAATCCTGCACACAAATCTTGAATACATGTTAGATTTAGTTTAGTCAATTAAGGAATGACCAGGACTGAAATTGTGCTATGTGGCCTTTATTCACATTTTCCTCAAGTCCCAAAACATAAAGTGTGAACACCAATATACTTACATTTGGCAACCCTTGAGCTAAGAGGATCTAAACTGGAATCATTGAAAGAGTTGATTTCTCTGCAGCTTTACAAGTATAATCTATGTACATATTCTAATTAATCGCAAATTTTTATCTTGTTTCCAACAAGCTACTCATTCAGAATTCACCATATTTTATTCCTTACAAAACACATTGACTTTCACCCAACCCACTATTTAGAATTTAGGAGTATTAACAAAACATTTTAGCAAGTAAAGTTTTAATAAAATGTTTTGGGAAAATTCCATTATTAAATTTTATTTTAATTATATAGGAATTAATGTGCAACCAAATATTCTTCCAGGGCAAGTTTATCCAGACATACCTACACCAGGGGGAGTACTATGGCCTGACAATGGAAGCTATAGAGAGTGTGGCCAGGGAGGGACTGGCTTGTGTGGTCCACATGGAGCTGGAGGTAAGCAGTGGCGGATTTAGGGGGGTTTCAGGGGTGTCCTGCCCCCCCC